GGTGACCTAACAAACAAGTACAAGATACTGAATTTAATTTCAGTATCGAATATTTTGCCCATCCTTAGAAACAACCATATTTACCCAGACCGAGCTTGACTCCTCTACGTTATGGGCATTGAACGTTCTATCGACCTCCCCTCCTTGATTTTTTCTAGGATAAGACGGGCGATTGTGGACCCGAAGAAAGGGTCTCTCCTTTTTGTTGGCTTAGCTACGACCTTGTGTGAGCAGGCTGGAGTGGTGATGGATACCACTATGGACTGGGCTAAAAAAGTGGTTGTTCTCAACTCTAGCTCTCTTCTAAAGAGTCAGAGTGTGTCTAGGGTAGGAGAGAGAGAGGTTAGACTCCTGAGTAGCAAGGTGAGCCCGCAGTTGAGGAGAAGGTGCCAGTAAAGGATCAGTGAGATCAGTTTCTCAACTTGGACGATGACTTTGATTTCTCGATTGATAAGGAGACTTATCTCAGGACTGCTAGATAGCTGTTGTTTGTGATTCTGAAGGAGCAGAAGGAGATGAGAAAGAAGATGAGAGAGATGAGGGCTCAAATGAGGGCGTTAGGACAAAGTTCTCAAAGTCATGTAGGCCCCTCATATTAGTTGGGTGATTTCTTCTAGGTCCTGGTGTTTCATTTAGGATGTGAAAAATTCTTCTTTTTGTTAAAATCAAAGCCTAAGATGTTTTGTTAGATTTTGTCTAGGCTAGGCTTGATTTGTTTTGTTTTGAAATATGCAGTGTATGAAACTTTAATATAATAGAAAATGAATATTCTACTTTAGTGAGTGATCAAATATCTAAATAACAGTTTTATACATAATTTGACACTACAATATGAAAATAATTTGTTTAACTTTAAATTTGCAATTTTTTAAGCATCACATAAAACTTTATTTTATGTTTTTATATCTCATATCACGTTCTTATAAAAAATCACAATTTGTACACTTTAGACTTTACCAAGTTGAAAATTTATTAGGTATTTGACCTTGAGAATTTGAAAAATTTATAGTGGAGATGCATTAAACCCTAGTGAGTTTTAATCTAATCTTTCTTGGAGGGTTATTTACATTAACTCAATAAAGAATATTTTTATTCAGTTAATCTCCTTCAATAGTCTCATTATTTTTGTTTTTGTCAACACCAATATTGTGAATGATTGTTTGACTTTAAATTATTTGCATGAGGTATTGTGTTATCAAGAACTCTTGAGATATGATTTTAGGTCATTTTTTATATTATTTGAGCCTAAGTCTTATTGTTTGAATATTATCTCTAGAAGCCGTGATTGAACCTTTGAAGCAAAATTTTATTTCTTATCTAGTGAGATTTGACATTGAGACGAATAGTTGATAGTTGTAGAGGTGATTACCGAATAAATTATTAACTTGGTATAATTAATTCATACTACACATGATTTATATGGAAACATGATAAATGCAATACATTTATATAGCGTACAATTCTATATTTTGCTTTGCATATGCTTATTAAAGGGTTTGCTGCTTAGAATTTTTATATTGTGGTAACAATTTGTATTATAAAATTATTATTCAGATATTTGATGACAGGATGATGTTTGTGGGTATCATTTCTGAAAATCTTCACTAGGCTATACTCGTCTAATAGGGGAAATCTAGGAGTTTAAAAGCTTGTTGCATTTGCTAAATACAATTGTGAATCCCACGAAAGTGGAGTTATTTTTGTTTACCATACTAGGGACTAGCAAAGTCTGGGTTGGGGGGTGTGATTATGATCCCATAATGTGATTATTTGATGGAAAAGATTAATCATTTGTTCATACAAAGGTGGTAAATGTGATAATTTATTAAAGATTTGTTATTATGATAGTAATGAAAGAATTATGTTTATTTTGCAGGAAAATGATTAAAAAAATTGGAGAGATAAAGGTGGATGAAGAAGAGCAGCTGAGTTAGACTTACTGGAATACGGGTCCAGACAGGGGATTGCTATTGCATCCGGACGGAGTTGACAAAATGAAAAGATGGACGTGCTTTGAAGAATTGGAGCATACTACCAAGTGCGTCCGGACGGTTGAATATGAGCGTTTGATCGTGTGTTGTTAAGGATGCCAATGCCAGTAGTAGAGTTGGATTTCAATTAGATCTTTTCTGAAGGGGAATATATATAAGGAGGGGATAGTTGGGATATGAGTCAGCTTTTGTTTTAGTATTCTTATTTATTTTTTGGTTAAATTTCATGATGTCTGGCTAAGAGGTCTGACTAGGGTTAGGGGAGAATCTCTCAATAAAGTACGGTATTGTTTTGACTTATTGGTTTAATGGTATGCAGTATTTTGTTAATTTAACTTTTGATTATTAGTAAAGTATTTGCTCTGTAAAGATTCTTGAGTCATTGTATCTTATACTTTGATTTCTTGAATTTCTCTACGAGACAAATAACTAGTTATTCCTTACTTAAGTTAATTACAATTTATTTCACATAATAATATAGCTAGAGGATTGTGTGGTTAAGCTAGGAATTCGATTGCTAAGAAAGTTTGATTTATTGTAGACTCCGGGCACAGTAAATACTTACAATCGACAATTAGTTCTTTGATTTTTCTGAATAAACCTTTGGTTATAAATAGTGGTGTTTTCTTGTTCTCATTACTAAATTAACTAATTGCAGTCAGTTGACTGTTCGACTCTTATATAAGTTTGAAAACTAAGTCTTTAATCATTACTGTATGAATTTGAGATGGTGTACCTGATGCTATAGTACTTTACATATTGTTTTAATTAATTCATTTACTTATACCAATTCAAACACTCTTTTTGAGAAACATTTTTACAAGTGTGTTAACAGATTTAGTGTGACAACTATTGTTTTTACACTTCCCTGAGGGTTCGACCTCGGTCTTCCGAGTCTATATTATTTCGCACAACCTGCGCTTAGGTTTACATATTTAAAGTTGTAAAAAGTAGTACCTCATAATTGAATGGCGACTCTCTTTGTTGAACCAAAGCATCCATAATCATCGAAGCTTTGCTTTTCACCGTCTCTTTCATATGGCTTAGCTCCTATTGGATCTCTCTAAAACGTCTCTCCCATAATTGATCCCTCCCATTTTGTTGGGGAGGAGCTGGGACGCGCTCGTCTCTATGGACTCCTCTGATTTGACTTTGGACCTCATCTTCCTCCCTATTTCCCAAGGCTCTGTGATGCACGTTATCAGTAGAGTGACTGAGATCATTCTCTTTTTGTAGTCTCGTTCAAGAGAATTTGACAATGATATTCCCCATGCGGGGGACCATCCTAGGCTGGTTGTGCTCTCTAGAGATTCTAAGCTCGGATAAGAGTTACTAGATCCTCATTTTGCTTAAGGAGATGCACAAATAAGAGATTCTGCCCTTCTAGTTCGTTGTTTGGAGGGGGATCTGCCATTGGCAGATTGTCTTCTGAGTTCAACAGAGGGTTTGCTGGAATTCTCTGTTGTCCCATGACATTGGCTTCTTACTGGTTCTACAAACATAGTAGATTTCTCTGAATTTTGCTTATGTTGCACGTAGAGATCATCAATTACTGAAAGGTCAGTAGAATTTTAGTAGAAATTGAAACAATTGTTCCCATGAATGGTGCCAAACTAATGGTATAATTTGCACAGTTGTGTAGCAAAGCATGAAGCTCAAAATGGGAAAATGGATTGGAGATTCTTAAGGACGTTAATGAAGTTCACTGGAATACACAGTCAAAGCTACTAGGCTTTCGATGGTTAAAAAATTGACACAAGGATAATAATAGAGAATAGAAATTAACAGACAGGGGGTTTTAGTGGCTCACCAACTTGGAAGGTTAGCTAGTCCACTCTAATGGAGTCTCTTGCTCATGAAAGAGTTTTCTATTGCTTGGGGAAGACGATTATAATGCTCTTGAGATTCAATTTACAAATATTCAATCCTCTACAATGTGAGGGATTGATCCCTATTTATAGTGTGTAATAGGCCTGACAATTCTAGACACGACCCCGACACGGATTTAGCGGGTTTGGGTGTAGTCTTAACGGGTTAACTTGTCAGACTCGTGCAATAACCGAACCGATTTCGTGTTTAACCCATAAACTCGTTTCAACCCGTTAACATAAATTTTTTTAAAAAAAGTTAGATCTCTCAACCTCTGTCCCATCTCACAACTCTCATCTCTCAGACTCATTCAAATTTAGTAGTCATTTAATGTTTATATTTTTGCTTAGCCATGATTTATTTTTATAGTAAATAGGTCAAACATGTGTAATGTGTGGCGAGTTGATGATTTTTTGTGTAGACTCGAAATACTCTAACTTTTTCTCTTATTTAGCAGGTGACACATGTGTTGTATTGAGTAACTCGTCTAATAAACGATTCATGTATGGATGTGATAATTGGACTTGTTTATATAAACGAATGGGGTATAAATAGAGTGTTTTTTTGACACAAACCCGATCCAAATGACACAAAACCATTACACTTAACATGATTGCCAGGTCTAGTGTGTAGGAGCATAATCCTTGTGTAATCAGTGTAAACCCTTCAGGATTATTATGACTCATGTGATGGAATACTTAGCCATTGGAGACCACATTCCCTAGACATGATGTGACCTTCTAGAAGGTGTGAGTTGTCGTAGTGTGCACGAGGGTTACATTGGTGTTGATTATTGATTTGCGGTTCCCAAGATAAGAATCATGAGCTGAGAGGTCTGAGCTTGAGTCACAAGCTAGGATCACTAGTTGGGTAGCTAGGGATTGGGAGCTCAGCTCGTTCACTCAGCCTTAGTTGTATCAAACTGGAACCTAGATTTTAACGTCATCATGTGAGCTCCTATTAGGGACATGTCTCTAAACTGCTTTTAAGCCGAGCTTGAACTTGAATAATTTTTTGTGTCATCAATTAGAATTTATTCTAGACCATCTCCAATCCAATTCCACTAGGGAGCACTCTTCTAATAATGAGCTATGATTGTTTATAAAAAAAAAAGAATAATTATTTGAAACACTACTTCGCAAATAACATATTCGAAACAAATATTTGTTTGGAAGAGGCCTATTTTATTTGTCATTGTAAAACAAAGAATTTCACCTATAATGTACACAGCCAGAACTCCCACGCTTGATTGTTTGTTACGAGTTACATGACCAGGCTACTCCTCTACTAAAGGAAAGAAATTAATTAAGGATGTTTATTGCTGGATTCTCGCAAAGAATTTTGACTCAGAACTTTTCACACGAGCCCATGCACTTCACAATGATACACAAACCATAGGTTATCCCAACCACAATGCCCTTTTTGGCTCTGAAATTTCAGCAGTTGCTTTAGAGCTTTTTTTTTTTTTACATTTTAATTCCAGAAATTCTGTCTTCCAATCTCTACGCCTACGGCTTCAGAATCTGAAAAGAGCAGAGCAAACTTGCATCCACGTTCATCAGTGCACCGGCATTGTTGAATTCTCCGCAATAATTAGGTGCAGAGAATATGGTTACCAGTTGCCTATCTGCGAAGAATTCATAACCATCTTCAACCACCTAATCAAATGGTTTCCAGGAAATTAAACATTGTTTAGAGCCTGCAATGGCAAGCGTAGTACATTTTTCTTGATATAAAACAAAAAACAGACGTGAAAGTTAAAAATAATAATAATAATAAAGAAGAGAGAGGCACCTGGTGAGCCCGGCATATGAGGTCTAAGTCATGTTTCTTCAAGAACTCAGACACCTTGTCGGCCCCAAATGTATAGGAAACACCTCGATCGTTCTCACCCCAACCTTTTATGTCTCTATCAGGGTCAGCCCAGAGGAGATCGCACAAGAGACCCTGGTCAGGCACATCAACTGGCCTTTCTATAGCTCTAATCTGATCCAAGCTTTCCATATCTGGTGAAAGCCCACCGTGCATGCATAGGATCTTGTCGTCAATTACTGCAGCCACTGGCAAACAGTTGAAGCAATCCGTGAATACTTTCCATAGGCGAATGCTAAAGCGCCGTTTGCACTCATCATAGAATCCATAGATTCGGTTAATGGAAGCACATTCATGGTTTCCTCTCAGAAGGAAGAAGTTATCAGGGAACTTGATCTTATAAGCTAGGAGAAGGCATATGGTCTCTACACTTTGCTTTCCTCTGTCCACATAGTCTCCAAGGAATAAATAGTTAGCGTCAGGTGGAAAACCACCATACTCAAACAGTCGTAGGAGGTCTGGGTACTGGCCATGTATGTCTCCTACAAGCAAAATTTATGTTATATCATCTCTGCCTGGATAAAAGAATGAACTAGAAACCTAAGGAGAAGCTCTTCATTTCAACTGGAATGAAGATATAATTACTAAAAAGGAAGGAGTCGGTGGGAATGGTGGTATATATATTATTGGTTTGACCTGAAATTAATACGAAAGCAAGCTACAATGTGTAGCTAATTAATATAGGAGTAATGTTATAGGAATTTTATTTGGGATTTAATTTGAGGATCTAATAATGTGGTTTCAATGTAATTATTAGATTAGTTATGAATTTAAATGTTAAGTGGAGCCTACAACCAATTCAATGGTTGTATTGAATTAGATCTCCAAATTAAATTCAAATAGCATTTTCCATTAATATAAGTACCCCTTATCCCTCTTGGCATCCGTTCATTCTAGGAGGAATCCTACAAATATCAGTACTATCATGTGAAATATCACACACACACACACACACACACATGTTTCCCATTATACCTGACAAGAGTTTACTTCCAATATATTAAGCAAACTAGAAATAGGGTCGCAATCAAGATTTTATTTTGAGGGGGTCAATAATGACATAGATAAAAATTTAATTCAATGGAATTTTTCACCGGTCATTGTCAAGAATAAATTTTTATTTATAAAGAATCTATTAAATTTAATTTTTTTTGCAATGACATCACAAAAAATTATTTTTGAGCACAAAACTCAAAAGTGGTTCATGCCATTATAAAACTTTATTTGTGATAATCTTTTTTTTTTCTTGTTTATAATATAATCATATGTTTATAAATAAATCAATGTTTCAAAAAATAGTTTCATATGATACCATAATAAAAATGAATTATAAGTCAATTAATTGTTTTTGATATAAATCATATTTATATTCCTATTTTTTTAATAAAAAAATTCACTTTTTTTTTACATCATCAAACATAATCAAACAAGTGATTTCGTCAAATCAAGCGACACTCATCTATGTGATCCTAAATGATTATTAATTATTAAGTCATTGATATTTTTAAATGAAATACTTAGTGTTTTGAAAAGTTAGATGTTAACAATAAAACTCTTTAAAAATATAGGGGGATTATAAAAATTTTTAAAATTTGAGAGGGAGCCATTGTCTCGACAAGAAGTCTTCCTAAATGGTCAAAGTCGTGTTACTTGTATCACTGTTTTAAAACCCGCCCGGCCCGACGGGTTGTCCCGGTGAACCAATCCCCTAACCGGGTCAATTTTGTAATTAAACCGTTTGAGCAAAGAATCAGTCAAAAAATCGATAACCCGTGAAAATCGGACCGGGTTTACAAAACCGGCCGATTTTGTTCCTTTAGTATAAATATGTTTTTTTTTAACATTTTTGTGTCTTTTTCTTTTCCCCTTCTGTTTTACCCTAAATTCTAAATCATTCGTTCAGCGTTTGTTAACTCAAAAATTAAGTGAATGCAATTAAGTGATTCAAGTTTGAGGGTGGAGGCTGGGCTGTTAATTGAATGCAATTAAGTGATTCAGGCTTGATAACTTTGTTTGATTTAATATATATTAAACATGTTATTTTTATAACTATTTTAATTTTTTAATCTATTTATTATCATTAATAATTTTTTTTATTTTTTTATTATATCACCGGTTCGACCAGTGACCCAGTGGTTGAACCAAAAATCTATTGACCCAGTCCCTTCTCCGGGTTGGTGTCCGGGCTGGATTTTAAATCTATGACTTGTATATACTTATCTACAATACAAAATTGACCAATTAAACTGAATCTTTTCTTATCTATAATAGTAACAACGGCATGTAAAGTTTTTTTTTTATTATTCATTTATTAAACAATGTTGACAGAGCGAAGCAAAAATTCGTGGTACCTTGAAATAAAGACTTGATAAAAAAAAAACGAAGAACAAAAGCAAGGACAAAAATGGTGCAATCATCTGATTCTGAAGACGAATGCAAGAACAATGGCCAGTACAACTACTTGGATCTTGAAATGAAAAGCATAAAAATAAGGTGGAAAAACTTTGAAGGAGGTGCTCGAAGAAAAAGGAACTGATCTCTTGGCGCTAATTAAGCATTTCTAGGCTGGTTGTTTTCCTATCCGTTTGAAAATGAACAACGATATAAATAATTCTATGACCGTGTAATTTTGTTGTGTAAATTTTGGAGAAAAGGGATGGAAGAACTCACCACAAACGTTAATTGGAGCTTCAAGCTCCAAGAGGTTAGGCTGGCTGAGGAAGACATCCTTGGCGTTGATGCAAAGATGGCGAATCTCGGACTCCGCCAGCTGAATCTTCTTCCCTCTATTCTTTCTCCCTTCTAACAACCTACCTATTACTCCATCCAATTCCAACCCCTCCATTAATTAGCCAACTCCCACCACTCACCCTCTTCGATTGATGATATTTGCTTACAATTGGATTTACTTACCAATAAGGACGATATACCAGGAGATGAAGAACGAAACATACAAGTTAGAGAGAGAGAGAGAGAGAGAGAGAGAGAGAGAGAGAGAGAGAGAGAGCGCAAATGAACCGCGGGGGTTGGAGATATATTTGGCAAGTGAATTTAATCTGTTACAATATATGAGGGTGAGGAAAGGAGTAATCACACCCCTTCCTCCTTTCCCGGATTTTCCTTGGGCATACATACATACCATATATTTAGGGAAAAAATAAATAAAAATAAAAATAAAAATACTTCCATCAACCTCCTATCTAAATTTTTTTTGACTGGAATTAAGATTTTTGTATCCACACCTAATGAGAAGTTGTCACATCACAACATTAATTTGTCAAACATATAAATAAGCAGAGTTTTTTCAAAAAAAAAATCTGAGTGATGACAATTGTTGAAAATTTACAATTGGTTAGACCCACCACCCAATTTGAGTTTCTGAACAGATCATTGCACTTGACAGAGGCCAGCTCCCTTCAAAGCCTTTCTGGAAGTGTCTGTTTGGTGCACAGTTGTTATAAATACCCACCGGACCTCCCTCAAATTTGCTCTCCCCTTGCCTAATTCACTAGACATACATAATTTTTTTTTAACAAATTATTTGGACATAAAATATTAAATTAAAGGAATATTCAGTATATTGATACTTGCCAGTCTCAAGTTACCGTAGAAATGTCATGTGTCAGAATCTGAAAAAATACAGAAGATGATTAATCACAACCATATTTGAAAAAGAAAAAATAGCTAATTGAGAGTTACCAGCCAATAACCATCGATAAGAGTAAAGTTGTCGCATGCAGTGGCTATAAAAGGGCATTTAGTAGAGAAGATGAAGGATATACTCAAAATCCCAAAAGATCTACAATTTTGACACTATTAGGAGTATTTTATAATAGTTTTATAATGCAATTAGTACTATAATTAAGGCTATTTATTCAATTTTTTTATAACTGAAGTCCTTTCTATTGAATTAATAAAGAAATTCTCTTTTATTAGTTCTCTACACAGTGTAATTATTCATTGTTTTTTTCATCCAAGTCTTGAAATAAAGTATTTGAACCCTTTATAAATAATCGCCTAAAAATTATCTATTGCTTAAGATATCTATGTCGATACTAACAAATTTTGGAGCAACAATCTTTTGTCACGTCTGGTGGGACAAAATTACTAAATTGGATCAAAAAATGATTTGAATAAGAAAGCAACATAAGATCGTTTTTGGCACTAATGAAACTGTGAAAATAATGTCAAATAGTGTCAATCGTGAAACAAGTTCAAATACCTACTGATTAACCATCAAAATTGCTATTTTATTATATTTAATGATTGGTTAATTGCATATTATTTGTGATTAAATGTGTTAAATTTCTTAATTTTCTAATTTGATACTTTTTCTAGTTGTTTGGTTTATTTTGCAGGTAAATTGGTTGATTTAAAGTAATAATGAATTTTGTAAGTGAATCAACCACTAGAGAAATAATCACAATTGATAAAGATTGAAGAGTCAAGATTGAAATAGGAAGACTTGAATATATGACAACAATTTAATCCTTATAAGAGTCCAAGTTGAAAGAAAACTCATTTACAGTTGGATTAGGAAAGTATCCTAAAAGATAAGGATTGACACGTTTTCAGTATTTTGGTCATAACTTTTGACTATGATATCCGATTTACTTAATTGTTGGGGGTTAAGAAGAAGACTTCAAGGGTTACAAAAGTGTATTTCACGAAATTTTCGTTATTCAACCACTAAATATGGGAAATTGAAGCTCGAAGTCTGGACAAATTTTGTAACTGAGCCCCAAAGATTTTATGCACGAGATTTAACCTTACAAAACTTTTTTTTAGAAAGGAATTCCTTCCAAACCAACCTTATATTTTCAATCTATACTTAGGATTTATTTTTAGTATAAATAGGGGTTCTCGTTTAGGATTATGATTATTCTTTTTCTCATCTTTTTATTTTGATTTTTAGTTCATCATCTCTGGCTAAAAGGCTAAGCTAGGCTAGGGCTAGGAGAGAACCTCTTAATGAAGTACGGTAATGTTATTGATTCTGATTTTAATGATTTATGATGTTTTGTTAATTTAACTTATAATCTGTTAGCAAAGTTTTTGCTCTGTAAAAATCTTTGAGTCGTTGTGTCATGTACATTGATTGTTTGAATTTTTCTGCGAATAAATAACTGGTTATTCCACGCTTGAGGTAATTATCATTATTTTATAAAATAATATAATTGGATGATTATTCAGGTTCCTCAATAATCTTTTGATTATAACTTTTAGTTTTTTTACTTGATTTATTATTCAAATCAACCGACATCTGATTCTTATTTCAATTTAAGTTTTAAATCCTTAATCATTATTGTATGGAATTGAGAGAGAGTATTTGATGCTCTAGTATTTTTATTACTGTTTTAATTATTAAAATCAATTTTCTCCGTTCAACAATTCTTTAAATAAATCATTTACTTTTAAATTTGTTTTAGTATTTGTGTGACTACTTTCTTGTTCAAATTCCTTGAGGGTTCAACCTCGGTCTTCCGAGAATTAAATTACTTTGCTCAACCTACGCATAGGTTTATAATATTAAAGTTAAAGCAAATTTTTGGTGCCGTTGTCGGGGAATTGTTTGACAAGGAGCCATCACATCTATTGAGGTTTGCCAAATTTGAAATTAGTCATAGATCTGGTAATCTCGTCCCTTTTTTTATATTATTTGTTTTATTTTTCCTTAGGTTACATATTTCATAATTTTTATTTTTATTTTTATATTTTTAATGTGGTGTGAAGATTTTCCCCGATGGAGCAACTGCATATGCTTTGTGATGTATATGGGCATCCCATTGAGGTTTGCCCTTTAATTCCAAATGCTTGACAATATTTGAGGAATGAGACAATTGTATTACGTAATTCTTCTCAACTTGTAAACCCCCACATGTCTAAACTATTAACAATCGTCTAATTAGCTTTGTTTTGCATTTAACATCTCAATTTACATCCTAAATCAAAATATAAGAATAATAAGTATATTTAGGCTCCAAATAAGTATAAAAGGCTAAATATTAAAAGAGAAAAAAAATGATATTTTGCATTCTCATCAATTAACTAACTTAGAGGAATTGAAGAAAAATGTTGATGGATATACTAGTTTTACATCATGTTGTTATAAATGATTCTAGGAGACGGATGATAATTTAGTTTTGATTAATGAATGATGCTAGACATGGATCTTTATGCAAGCCATACTATCTATATTGGAGATGAGTATGAGATATAATTTGTGATAAAAGACACTCAAACTCGAGTTAGACAAGTATAGAAGAACCAAGCAGTCCGGCAGACTACCTTTCACCAATTTGATCATAACTCTTTGTTGGAAAGTCCAAATTGTGCACTGTTATTTTTGTTAGACCCCTAACTCGTATATATTTTCAACCATATAGATCACACATACTAGAAATACCTAAGTCAAATCAATTTATTCTCCAAAGTTGATCAAAAATCTGTACTGTGGTGTTCCTTAGATGGTAAAATGTTGTGCTTTCTTCTTAGACTTGGAAGGTGTAAACCCTCACATGTTTATATTAATATAGTAATGTACTTTTTTAGTGATTCTTATATATGTAATGACATAAGAATAAACTATATATATTGAAACCGTAAGAATAAATACTACGGAGAAATAAAATAGTAATTTTAATGTTTCGAGTGTAAATTTATCTTAGTTTTGAAATAAATCATAAATATAAATGATTTTAGGTTAAAATAACATTAAAAATGAATCCGGAACGTCGAAAAATCTTAGGGTAGTCATATGGATCAAATTGAAGATTCTTAGTGGTAAAATCGTAATTTTGAAGAAACCAAAACGGCCTGTGAACAGTAAAAATCGGGGCTGCTGTGTTTAAAAATCTATTTTCATCTCATTTACTCCCATTCTCTTCACTCCACTCTCACCCCACACCTCTTGAAACCTTAAAGGAAGATTAAGGAAGAAAGAAAAAGAAAGAAGGAGGTCACTAGAGCTTGGGTTCTGGCAAAGAAGGTGGATTGAGTACCTAGAAAACTATGATTTTACACTCAACTACCATTTGGGGAAGGCGAATGTAGTAGCCAAGGCACTTAGTAGGAAGTCTCGGGGTGAACTCAATGTTTCCATGGGTGAATGGAAGTTGAAGGATGCCCTTGGAGATTATGATCTATGGGTTGGAGAAGATGGATCCCAACCATGCTTGTTCAACCTTGTGGCTCAACCTACTCTCCAACGTAGGGTTGTGGAATTGTAATGCTTGGATCCTGAATTAGCGTCGATTCGAGCTAAATTAGAGAATGAAGAAACTATAGAGGGTTGGTCTTTGAGAAATGGAGAATTAAAATATGGGGAGAAGCTATGTGTTCCCGATGATTCATCTATAAAGGAGGAGATACTTGGAGAGTGTCATCGCTCTAAGTTTACTATCCACCCCGGTAGCACAAAAATGTATAGGGACATGAAGCGCCAATATTGGTGGAAGGGAATGAAGAAGGATTTGGTAAGATTCATAGCACGATGTGCGGTGTGCCAGCAAGTGAAGATCGAACATCTAAAGCCAGGAGGATTACTACAGTCTTTGCCTATCCCAAAGTGGAAGTGAGATCACATCACCATGGATTTCGTGTCGGGTTTACCACGGATGTCGTGCGGGCATAACGCAGTATGGGTTATTGTGGATAGACTCACCAAGTCTACTCAATTTTTGGGTATGAAGACCACAGACACATTTGAGAGTTTGAGCTAGCTGTGTTTCCATGAGATTGTGCGATTGCATGGAGTTCTGCTTTCTATCGTGTCGGATCGTAATTCTCGGTTTGTAGCACGGTTCTGGCAAAGTCTACAACAAGCCATGGGGACAGAGTTACATTTCAGCACAATTTTTCATCCCCAAACGGATGGCCAATCTGAGAGGGTGATACAGATTGTGAAAGACATATTATGTGCTTGCGTGTTGGACTTCAAAGGAAGCTGGATTGATCACTT